AGTCTTCTGGGTTGGATTTGACCGAAACAGGCGTTTCTCCTGGCCTTCCCGCCAGCTTCCCCAGGGGCCATGGAGGTCCTCACTTGTGGTCCTACTTCTCAGTGTCCTCCCTGGGGGCTCCCAAGCCAGAGTCCCCACCCTACCCTACTGGGCCTAGGATGTGGCTCATTTTACTGCTCCACATGGGCAACTATCCTCACATCCCTCCCAGCTCCCAAAACCAGCTCAGAAAAAGAGGCTGCACCTAAATAGTCTTGACCGGGGTCTCCGGGGGGGCCAAGGTGCCTTGGAGCCTCGGAGCCACCAGGGTAGCTGTTTTGAGAATCCCTTTCAGGCTAGGCTAGGGGTTCCTTTTCTTTGCACCTCAGTACAATGCACCCACCTCTTCATTTTCCATAGCTTGTACCTGTTCGCTTCCTCCTTCCTCCACTCCGTGCATTTATTGAGCTCCTATGACACTCTAGGTATGCGGATGAGGATGACTACGAAACTATTCCTGCCCTGAAGGAAGTCACGGGTTAGAAAAGAGAACTGGGAAAGTCATGACCAGAGGACTCGTTTACTGAGCACTTGCTGCATGCCAGGGACTGTTCTGAAGCTTGATTTTAATTAATGTGGGAGGGAAATACTACTTGACAGATGAGGAAGAGAGGCCCAGGATGGTAAAGTCACTTGTCAGGGTTGCAATGGAGTAAGTGACAGAGCCGGGTGCAAACCAGGTTACGGTGGCTCCAGGCCCTTCACGCTGGGTAATTGCTGGGGTGGCCTCATCTTAGGACCTTGCTGGGAGTGGTGGAGAAGACCTGGAGCAGACGGTGGGGTGAGATTGTGATAATGTATTGTGTAGCGTCTCCTCCCACTTCCTGTTAGCCCAGGACTCCCTGAAGACAGAGACTGCCTTTTTTTTTCTTTTTTTGCCTCTTTTTCTCCAGGACCCCAGACAGTGCCTGGTGTATGGTGGGAACTCAGTTAATAGCTGCTGACTAAATAGGTTAACAAAGCAGGTTTCAAGGTCCTGGGAGCGGGGGTCATGCCCGATTTCTCTGTGATGCCTCAGCCTCTGGCACTGTTCCAGGCATGTGAACTTGAACCCAGCCCCACCTCATTCTGCAGTGGGAGTTTCGGGGTCTGGGTGGGATCTGGAGTGAGTTCAGGGTAGACACTCGCCTTCTGGCTCAGCCAGATGGGCCAGGCCTGTGTGAGCGAACCCGTGGGAATAAGCCAATTGTGTGCTCCCCTCAGTGGACTTGGCATGGGGAAGAGAATGAGGGCGGAGAATAAATGACATGGGGGCTGCAGAGGGCAGAGAGGGGACATGAGGAGCGTGCCAGAGGAAGGGGACAGGTGGCCAGAGCACCAGTCCACTGAAGCCCTGGCCTAAAACCCCATGACAAAAATCAGGTGGCACTGAGGGACATTTCCTCAGTTGATTCATCCTTCTCTGCCTCTCATGAGCATAGCTTGAGTCCCCCAAGCTCCCGCAGGATACCAGGCCCCGAGACAGGGGAGACATGGCCCTGCCCCCTGGGAGCATACTGTCAGTGCTGGGGCAGGTTGTATACACATCTGAACACCAAAGTGTGCCCCACACCAGAGGGGTGCCACAGGCGAAAGAGTGTCCAAGGCAGGCTGACTTCTGAATAGAAACCTGGTAGTTTCCCATAAAACCAAGATGGCGGTAGGGGGAGAAAGAGAAGGAGGAAGGTCAGATCAGACTAGGGTCACTCGTTGAAAAAGGGGCCCAGGGTATCCAGCCACAGAACTGCCTCCCTGAGGGAGGTTTGGGATGGCAGGACCCTGGGTGGACTAGGGAGGCTAGGGTAGGAGCCAGAGTTGAAGGGAGGCAGGAAGAGGCTGAACCACCAGGCCCTGGCAGCCAGTGAGGAGTCTGGGCTTTCCTCCATGGCCAATGGGAGCTATCAGAATATGGTCTCTAATCTAAGAAGAAGACTTTCCATTTACAGCAAATGCTGGAGCGCAGAGCATGGAGGCAGGGAGGTCAGTGAGGAGGCTGTGGCCACGTGCCGGAGCTAGGACTGGGGAGGTCGTTATGGCTAAAACAACCTCCACAGGAAGGACTTGCAAAGGGGGTCAGGGAGAGAGAGGAGGCCATGATGATTTCCAGGTTCCTGGCTCTGTTTCCAGGTCCTCTGGGATCCGGGACAAGGACGTTGGGAGCTCTTTTGCAAGTGTGGATTTGAGGAGGTGATGTCCAGTGCTCCGATGGGCAGGGGAGGTTGAGGTTGAGGGGCCTCACTGGAGATGCGAGCTAAGGAAGCCTCGGAGCATACGGGGAATTGTAACCATGGACAGGTCCAGGAAGGTCCACAGAGACAGTGAAGGGGAAGAGAGAACAGCCCCCACGCCAGGATCCAGGGGCAAGTCAGCATGTCGGCATGGCTGCACATCTGCTTTGGGCCACCAGAAGGAAGGAAGAGGGCGGGGAGGTCAGTGCAGAGACGAGCCATGGAGCTGGTCCCATGAGTGGTTTAAAGTGGCAGGATCTGGGATGGACTGGGAAGATAGCGGGACCAGATGGAGCCAGGAGCCTGAAAGGAAGTGCTCTCACAGGAAGCAAGGAGGCCACAGGTTGAGAACAGGCCTCCTCCCCAAGTCACCTCTTAAATGACCTCTACCAACCTGCCCCAGAGCCCTCTACACCCAGTTCCCTTGTGTCCTCACCACCAGACTCTAATATCACCCCATGCTGCCCTTATGACTGGACAGTCCCAGGCTGTTGAGGGCCCACATGCCCAACACTGTCTCTGGTGTGCACCGTGTTTGCGGGGCACATCATCTCTTGAAGGAGACGAGGGCATAAGCTGACAAGGCCCTTGTGTCCCTGGTCTGTGTTCAAAGAAGCCTGGCCAGTATTCCCTTCTCTCCGCTTACCCTTAGGGAGTTGACTTGATAAAAGCAGTACCACGTGACCTCATGTCTGCCCAGTCTGGATGTTGCCCATTTTAACAATGACATTATTCAGTATCAGTAAACACAGGTGCTATGCTAAAAATACTTAGAATATTAAAACATTTCTTGTTAAGAGTGAAGTTTGGCCCTATACAAGGGGCATACTGTAAAAATAAAATTGCTCTCACCTATCTAGGAGAAAGACCTCCCAATCCCGCTGTCTCTTGTCTTCTTTCTCATTCCCTCCCCCCCACCACAGGCCCTGCTCACCGGAGGCTGGAACTCTGCAGTCTCTGAGCTGCCTGCGTTCCCCCATGTTGGTTGCTGCTCCACCTATGTGCCCTGGTGGTCCGCGTGCCATGTGTCCCCAGCCCAACCTCATCTGGGTTCACTGCTCAGCCAGCTGTGTTCCCCTCACCCACATCCCTAAACCAAGTCTTAGCAAGGGCCACCCTCAGAAACCAGGTCAGAGTCAAAGATACATTTGCAAAAAGGCAGGAAACTTTATTGAATTATCTTTTCTTTTTAGTAGAGAAGTTGAGAAACCAAGGAGTAGCTGGGTCGAGAAGGAGATGGGGAGAGAGGAGCACGAGGGCCCACCCTGGGAGAGCATTGGGACGGGCCCTTAGAGCAGAGGGACTGAGCACCCCACCCCGCAGCCCCCTCTTCTCTCCTGCAGGGAACCATCAGCTCTCTCCTCCTCTGGGTGCTGGAGACAGAGGGTGGGCACACCAGGCAGATTTAAGACCTGCGGACGTCAGAAGTGCGGCGACCTGCGGTATTGGAAGCCGTGGTGCTGCTGCTGCCACTGGAGCTGACGTTAACTGGAAAACAAGGAAACAGGAGATGTTTAGGCTGGAGAGACTCACTCAAGCCAGGTCAGGGAGCCCCCAGGAGGGCCCACACACTCCTGATTAGTCAGGTGGTATGTTGATGGGGACCCTTTTTATTGTCCCCGAAGGTGACTCCCGCCAAGATAGCCCAGTGATTCTAGGAGGCAGAGCCATCCACCCTGAAAGGAAAGTAGATGGTAATGACCTCTCCCACTCCAGCTCCCTCCTACCTCCACTTGGGAGCCCAGCACTGCCTCCTTACTGGTGGCCCACCCCACAACCCCATAGGGCACTAGGCATGAACTGGAGTGTGACTCCACCTCCCCTGTAGGGCTGTTTGCTTACCTCCTGCAGAGGCGGAGCCAGTCAGCCTGGGAGAGAGGAGAGAGGTGGCCATGAGTGCAGGGGGTCACCAGGGGCAGGTGCTCAACTGTCCCTCTGCTGGAGCAACTCAGAGCATCACTCGGAGCCCCTGAGTTGGACTCTTGTGCCCAGCTGTGCCCCCAGCTCAAGGGGCAGCAGCATCAGGTGCCCCCCAGGCCTGTTTGTCTGCCTGTCTTGTCTGTCTGCTTGCCTTGTCTGTCTGCCTGACTGTCTGCCTGTCTGTCTGCCTGTCTTGTCTGCCTCTCTGTCTGCCTGTCTTGTCTATCTACCTTCCTTGTCTGTCTATCTTATCTGCCTGCCTGTCTTATCTGTCTGTCTGCCTGTCTGCCTGCCTGTCTGTCTCTCTGTCTGCCTGTCTCTATTTGTCTGCCTGTCTTGTCTGTCTGCCTGTCTATCTGTCTCTCTGTCTAAGAGACCTCAAGAGGAGATATTATTGGCCCCAGGCTCAGAGCATTTGCCACAATCTTTGTCCTCCCTCTGACTTATGCTCATTCAGCCTCACACACAACCTCCCATCCCTCCCCCGAACCCCCAAGGACAGGTCTCTGCAAATGGTCTGAAGGCAGTGAAATCACCATATCAATGGCTGGTTTTGCCTGAGCAGAACCCAAGCTCATATTTTTCCAATATCAGATATTCTCTCCCGGACCCTCTTCCAGTCAGTCCAATTCAGAGTTCTGATTGGAAAGTCTAGGGGTGCCGATGCTGCAGCCTGCCAGGAAATGCCCGCACAGCCTGATTCAAGAGAACAGAGAGCCCTGGCCCTGGTCTTCTTCGAGCTGTTTACACTGAGAAGGGGGAGGGGCTGATCTCCAAGGTCCTGCCCATCTGACACCAGCGTGTCCTGTGGTCCCGGCCCTAGAAAGGTTGGACCTACTTGGCATCCTGGCCCTCGAGCAGACTGCGGTAGGTGGCGATCTCCTGCTCCAGCCGCGTCTTGATGTCCAGCAGCATCCTGTACTCCTGGTTCTGGCACTCCATCTCACTGCGCAGCTCACTCAGCTGGGCCTCGATGCTGCTGATGAGCCCCTGAATCTGCTGCAACTGCAGGGCGTAGCGGCACTCCGTCTCTGCCACGGTGTTCTCCAGTCCGGCTTTCTAGGGGGCAACAGGGGAGAAGTCATGAGGGTGGCATGCAGTGGCCAGTTGGAGACCCAGAGTTGGTGGCCACTGGGTGGGGGCTGCGGGTGTACCATGCTCAGCTGGGACTGCAGCTCAATCTCCAGGCCCTGGAGCGTGCGCCTCAGCTCTGTGATCTCCGTCTTGCTGGTCTGAATCATGGCAGTGCTGGAAGTCACCTCCTTATTCAGCTCTGCACTCTGAAATGCAAGCAGGAAGACGGTGACGGGGCTGGACGAGCTCGGCTGGAAGAGCCTGAGCCTAGGACTGTGTCTGCCCTGCACTGCCTGGCCACGTGGGGTGAGAGGTCACCTTGTGGTGGAACCAATCCTCTGCGTCCCGGCGGTTCTTCTCCGCCATGGCCTCATATTGCTCTCTCATTTCAGCCAGCACGCGGGTCAGGTCGATGCCCGGGGTGGCGTCCATCTCCACGTTGACCTGGCCCACCACCTGGTTGCTGAACTCCTTCATCTCCTGTGGGGGTGGGAAAGGAAGATGTGGGAGGCGCCCAAAACCCCTCTCCTTGGCTCTGAGTGCTGGCAGAGTGTTCTGGTAAGCACTTCCCCATCCCACAGAGGAGGGCCCAGTCTGGCTGGAGCCGAGGGCTCGCCTTTCTCCCTGGAGGCCATTTCACCCCCGGCAGGCCCATCACCCCCTCTCACCTCCTCATGGTTCTTCTTCATATAGGCCAGCTCTTCGTTCAGGCTCTCAATCTGCATCTCCAGGTCGGTCTTGGACAGGGTCAGCTCGTCCAGCACCCGGCGCAGGCCGTTGATGTCAGCTTCCACGCTCTGGCGCAGGGCCAACTCGTTCTCATACCTGAAATAGTTTTTTTTAAAAAAAAAAAAGAAAGAGAAAGAAAAGAAACAGTTTTTTTGAAAAAGCAAGACATAAATGATACTGGACACTCTCCGATCCCTGCACTAGACTGTGACTTCTCCAAGACCTTCACTCCTGGGATACACCAGTGGTCATATGAGCATGTATCTACACTAAAAGGATGAGGGAAATAAACTCACTTGAGCCTGAAGTCATCCGCAGCCAGCCTGGCATTGTCGATCTCCAGGACGACCCTGTTGTTTTCAATGGTGGCGGCCAGGATCTGCAAAGTGTAGAAGAAGGTAACTTCTGAGCAGGGTCCACATGCTGAGGAGGGAGACTAGGAAACCATGGGAGGACTCTGCCTCTTGCTGGGACAATGCACTTCTCTCTGGGACTCAGACCTTCTTCCAGAAAGTGAGAGGTGGGGCCAGGTCCCTTCAGTTTGCCACTGGAGCATTCTATGCGTGGTCACAATGGGGAGGATACAGGATATCTTTGGTGAGTCCAGTCTCAGCAAACTCAACCTCTCAGCCTCTGACAGAGACTTTCCTCTTAAAGTCAGAAGGGACTCGACTTGACTCGACATATCTTGTAATGACCTCACTGGAGTAGGTCTCTCGGCTGAGTACTGGGAAAGTCCAATAAATACTCTCATCCACTTGAATCTTTCCTCCAAACCTTTATACTCCAAAGCGCTTCAAGCCCACCCCGCTTGGCTGGGACTCAGCCCAGACTGCTGAATTTCTGTTCCCACAGGCTGGTATCACAGTGGGATGGACAGGCCCAGATGGAGGGCACCCAGGCTCGACACTGCCCAAGCCTCAGCCTAGACCGCTCCAACTTGCCCATCCCAGGTGAGAATGACAGTTGACACAGGCCCCCTGCAAAACAAACAGTTGTTCCCAGAACAGTGACTGAACGTGTCTCCTTTTCTCTGTTGATGTTAATCATTCCAAGTGGCTTTTAAAACTGTCATGTTTCCAAATAACTCAGTGGGTTGGGATTATAGAGATTGAGTCACTGAAAACATAACTGTTTGGAAAGCAGTAACAAAAACTGCTGAAGGGGAATATGGACAATAAAAATGAATAATGGGAGAAAATGCATTTTGGGATCATGGCATGAGAAAGCCCGTCAGGAGTGCAGTCTTAGGAGTAAAATGTTAGGATTTTCTCCTGCAAGAAGGGTATGAGTACCATTCACATCAGTCCCCACGACACTGCCTTTACTGGTCTTTGAGGCCTCACCCTGCATAAGGACCTCTCCTGAGCATCCAAGGGCTCACCTTGTCCCGGAGCTCATCCATGGTCTTGTAGTAGTGGCTGTAGTCGTGCTCTGGGCTGGTCGGGGCCTGCTTCAGATGCCAGTCTCGAATCTTCACCTCCAGGTCAGCGTTGGCCTCCTCCAGGGCCCTCACCTTGTCCAGGTAGGAGGCCAGGCGGTCATTGAGGTTCTGCATGGTGATCTTCTCATTGCCAGTGAGGAGGCCGCCATCGCTGCTGCCGAAGTCACAAAAGCCACCACCAAAACTGCCACCAAAGCCACCACCAAAGCCACCTCCGAAGCTACTACCAGCACCTCCACCAAAGCCACAGCTCATGCCACCTCCGTAGCCCCCAGCAGATCCCCCAGAGACAAATCGGGTTGAGCAGGCAGAGACGCCACGGCCTCCTCCCAGCTGGCAAGAGCCTCCTCCAAAACCACCCCCATAGCTGGCGGAGGAGCTCTGCAGACGGCAGCTCATGGTGAGGACAGAATCAGGAGCAGGTGCAGGCAGGAGTTTCCTGGGCCTGGGCCGAGATCGGTGGCACTTCCCCGGAGTGGACTCTTTTTATAAAGCCTCTGCAGGGGCTGGACAGCCTCTCTCCTCCCTTCCCCACCCTCTGACCTGGTGCCAACACACAGCTGTTTCCCACAAGCCCAGGTACCTCTGCTCTCCAGGGTGGGTTGTGCCTTTTGGGGGTGGCTTTTTTAAAACCCTTAACAAAAGGGATGATTCAGAAGGGACAGCATTCTGCCTGAGACTGCCCTTTTGACAGCTGAATTCTGTTTCACCTCTCCACGTAAGAAGCTCACTCCATAGGCTGTCAGCCCCGCCCGGTATTAGGACGGGGACCAAGAAGCCAAGGTCTGGCAGGGAGACTCCGTGAAGGAAGGGGGTGGCTGCAAGGGGGCCTGTGCTTTGCAAGGCCACTGCACCCCTCCCCCTCCCTTCTCTCTATCCCTAAAACTTCTGATTGAGATGTTCTAGATCCTTCTTAGCACCTCGTCTACACCAACAATTCTGATGACACAGTTTGCTTGGTCTTACAGCTTCAGCTGCCTTGGAAATGTTTAGACTGAGAAAGAAATGACTGCAAGAACACCAGCAAAAGTCACAGTGGCGGGGACCCCAGGGGATCTTTGGGACTATCAAACCCAGATTGGGAAACTGAGGCATGGAAAGAGGACATGACCCTGCACATTCTAACAGCTAATATTGTCAGTGCTGTTACCACAGGCAGGCACTGGGTGATATATTTTACACTCACTGTCTCATTGAGGGGGATCCTACTATGTCCCCAATGAGGAAAATAAGCCTTAAAGGTAGAGTCAGGACTGAACCCCAAATCTGGTTCTGTCAGACAGTTAAGAATCATTTTCTGGTTATATTTCTCATGCAGTGAAATGTACACACCGTGTATCCAGCCTGATGACGTTTTAGCCATGCATGTCCTCTGTAACCACTACCCAGGACATTCCCAGCACTTCCTAAAGCTTCCATACCTCCTCCTGGTCAATTATCCACACTTCACACCCTTGACGAAACCACTCTTCCAGCTTCTGCCCCATAGACAGGGTCAAAGGCTGTCAGCCAGGGGCTACTTTGCTCCCCAGGGGACATTTAACAATGTCTAGAGACAATTTTATTGTCACAACTGGGGGGTTCTCCTGGCATCTAGAGGGTAGAGACCAAGGACACTGTCAAACATCCCACAATGCACAGGACAGTCCTCACTGCAAAGAATTACCAGACCCAAAATGTCAAGAGTGTCAAGTTTGAGATGCCCTATGCCAGTCTGACCTGTGGGTTCAATCACTCTATTGTACCAACTGCGTTGGGGACACAGCCAAGCCCAGAAAGAAGGTCTTATAACAACCTGAGCAGGGCCCTTTCTGATGCCCCAGACACATGAGGTCTGTCCCAGTTCATGAGTGTTTGGTTAAGAGGCTGCATAGGAAGATGTGACCTAGGGAATGGGACCAGGGTCTCTGCTGAGGATCCTGGGATGTAACTGGAAAACTCAGAGACTGTGCAATGACCCTGGCAGAGGAGGCCTCATCATCCAGGCCTGAAGGAAAGGCCTTGAGGTGGCCTCTCAGAGCCCAGGGCAGAAGAAGTTTTCAGTTCCCAGTGGAGGACCCTGATCTCGGGGTCCCAGCCCCCACTCACCAGGGGACCAGGGTTTCCATGGGCGTCTCTTGGGAGCAACTTTCTGACTCACGGCAACCACGAGGGTCTGCATGATCCCAGGCCAGGTGTGGGAGAGGGTGGCACTGGCACTAGGTTCTCCTGCAGTCCCCTTCACTGACACAGCAAGACAGAAAAGAGAGACTCAAGTCAGGGCTCCCTCACCCTTGTTTTCCTGGGTAGGGAAGCCTGTTGCACCCAGCGGCACCAGGGAGAGAGCCAGGGCATGCTGTGAGTACTGGACACCCATGAGTCTCAGGATTCGGCTGACCCCTGACCCTGCCTGACCCTCCTGCCCAAGCTGATGGCTCAGCTTTCTCTCCCTCTCTGAAAGGGGGTGATTCAGCCCTAAGCAGGAGCTCCTACTCTCTCAGGAGAGGATCAACACTGACAAGAAGGTGATTAATGGAACCTGCCAGGCCTGGGATGACAATGCCCTAAGCCTCCCGGGGCTGACTAGCAGGTTCGGGCAACGCCTCTTGGTAACAATGCAACTGATCCACCAAAGCCCAGGTAGTGCAAACATGGGTGGCCGACAGCAGGGCTCCCCCCGCGGGGTCAGGGCACACCTCCTTCCCTCCCAGCAGGGACTTGCAGTGCCTTGACAGCGAAATGCCTTCCTCCCACCTGCAGCAAACCCCAATGCCCTCCTGGAGGAAGCTGCACAGAGACCCACTCAAAGCCCCAGTTCCCTTCTCCCCATCCTGGTCCTAATGATCTCAGGATAGAGAGCTGGGGCTGAGGCTTTCTGCGAGCTTGTCTTATGCAAGGACGGCAGCCCTCCCCGCCTCCACTCAGTAACATTTCAAGGGAAGGAGAAGGAAGCCTGCACTCTGAACCTCATCCTGTATGTCTCTTGATCTGGTTGTTTATTTGTATCCTTAAAAAATACTCTTTGTTGGTTGGGTGTAGTGACTAACACCTGAAATCCCAGCACTTTGGGAGGCCAAAGCAGGAGGATCACTTGAGCCTGGGAGTTTGAGGCCAGCCTAGGAAACAATGAGACCTCACCTTTACAAAAAAATCAAAAGTTAGCTGGGCATGGTGGTGCATGCTAGTAGTCTCAGCTACTCAGGAGGCTGAGATGGGAGGATGACTTGAGCCCATGAGATCGAGGCTGTGGTGAGCCATGATCGTGCCACTGCACTCCAGCCTGGGCAATAGAGTGAGACCCCTGCAACCGAGACTGTTCTTAACACATTATCACTGAGTCTCACAACAACAAGAGAGGGTTTTATTGACCCCACTTTATCCATGGGGCAGCTGAGGTTCAGGGAAGCCAGTCACCTACCCAAGGACACCATGAAGTCGAGATCTGAATCTGGCCTCTGGCACTCCCCACCCGAGGGTGTTTTGTCGTGAACTTGAATGCATGATCTCTGAATGTTCCCAAAGTCCTTGTAAGGTACTGAGCAACAGGGGTGCCAGGAGCATCTTTTGTTCCAATATTTGGTCTTTGAGCCCAGCTTCTGACTTTCCTCCCTGGGAATCTCCTGGTGACAAAGTGATGCTCAGAGGACTCCCATGGGGCTGGTCACCAGGAAGACTTTCAGCTCCACCTCCCACATTCCAGGAGAGGGTGAAAGACTGGACATTGAGTAAACAATTGATTGACATGTCCATGTGCTGAAGCCTCCATGCAAACCCTGAACTGCAGGGTTCAGAGAGCTTCCAGGTTTATGAACTCTTAACACACCCACGTGCCAGGAGGGTGGTGCACCCTGACTCCACAGGACAGACGCCCCTGCGCTCAGGACACCTCTGAACCTCATCCTATGTTTCTCTTCATCTGGCTGCTCACCTATATCCTTAAAAATTATACCCTTTGCTGTCCAGGCATGATGGCTCATGCCTGGAATTCCAGCACTTTGGGAGGCCAAGACAGGAAGATAGCTTGATCCCAAAAATTTGAGACCAGCCTAGGAAACATAATGAGACCTTGTCTTTACAAAAAACTCAAAAAGTTATCTGGGCGTGGTGATGCGTGCCTGTAGTCCCAGCTACTTGGGAGGCTGAGCCCAGGAAGTCAAGGCTGTGGTGAGTGCCAATGCACTCAGTTGCCTGGGCAACTGAGTGAGACCCTTACTCAAATAAATATGCATTTATTCTTTGTAATAAATGGACAACAATAAATGCACTGTTTTCCTGGGTTTTGTGAGATGTGCTACCAAATTATCAAACCCAAGAAGTGGATCATGGAAACCCAAACAGAAGTTGTGGGTAACCTAGGAACCTACTACTTGAAATTGGCATCTGAAGTTGGGGGCAGTCTTGTGGGACAGAGCCTTTCACCTGTGGGGTCTACGCTCACTCCAGTTAGTGTCAGAATTGAATTGACTTGTAGGACACCCAGTTGGTGTTACTGAATTGCACCACAAAACATGTCATGGGGTCAGAGACATGTTCTGTGATGAGCACGCGTATAGATGAGATAGTAAAGTAATTTTTCCTATACTCACATTCTGTGTATGTTAAAAGATTGTGAAATGACAAAAACAAAGCAGGATCTCATTTGGTCTTCAAAACAACTCTACTATTTTTTTTTGTAAGAGTCGGGGTCTCACTCTGTCACCCAGCTGGTGTGCAGTGGCACCATCATTGCTTACCATAGCCTCGAGCTCCTAGGCTCAAGCGATCCTCTTGCCTCAGCCTCCCAAGTAGCTGGGACCACATGTGTGCCATCACACCCAGCTAATTTTTTTTTTTCCTTTAGAGAAGGAGGTCTCGAACTCCTGGCCTCAAGCAATCTTCCTGCCTCAGCGTCCCAAAGCACCAGGATTACAGGCATGATCTACTATTTTTATTATACCTTTTTTTCAGGTGAGGAAGTGGAGGCCCAGAGAGACTAAATACATTGCCCAAACTAGAAAGCACAATTGTGTCCATGGTAAATCCCTTTCAGGTGTTAATACCATTCCCACTCAAACAAGAGCCTCACTGTCTCAGGCTAATCTGTTGCCCCAGGCCAGGCCAGTGACTGGTCTTGCTTCCTGCAGTAGCTAGGCCTGTGCGACTGATGGCCCAACAGGTCAGCTTGTCTGCTGTCTGTCCCTGGTCTGAGCTCCAAAGTTCAGGGTCTGTGGGAGTGCTCACACATCACGGAATTGTTGTAGGAACTTTGCCACCCAACCACCTCATGTCATGTGTAGGGAAACTGAGGCCCATAATGCCATGTCCCAGGACAGTGGGAACATGGATCTTCCAGCTCTATCACCACCTTACCATGGGCCTTACGTTGAAACGGTTTCTAAGTTTCCTTCAGCAAATTGCCCTTTGAGCCTCTGGCCCTCAAAGACTTGTTCACAATCACTGAATTGTTATCTGCGGAGCTGGGACAGTGAGTCGGTACCCCAGATGCTAATCTGGAGCTCCTTGCTTTGATCAGGCATCTCTCTTCTCCCTCTCTCCTTGGACTCCAAGGGGTCCAGAGCCCAAGACAGCTAACTCATCTCCCACAGAGTTTCACCACTCTCCG